TAGGCCCGCGCTACCGTCTCCACAATGGCCTTCTGGCAGCATGAATCCTTAAGATAAGATGCTGGATTCAGTGCCTGCTGACATCCTGAAAGCCTCTATATGTTATATGGTCAGTGGTGGAGGAAGTACCTAAATCTTTAATACTAAATTGTTAAAGTACTATGTTACAAGGAAAAGTCCTGCATTCAAAATCGTACTTAGAGAGAAGTAAAAACGTATCCTATTTAAAATATACTTAAAGTACCAAAAGTAAAAGTACTCCTAATGCGTATTTCAGATATTAAATGAATGGATTACAATTATTGATGTTAATGTGTTTATCCCAGCTGGTAAAGGCAGAGCTCATTTGAATTATGTTATATACTGCTGCTGGATATATTAACCTATAACTGTATATATCAATAGTTTTTTCAATAATTAAAATGTATTAGCTAATAATCTAAAAAGTTGCTAGTAACTAAAGGCTGTCAGATAAATGTAGTGGAGTAAAAAGTACAGTATTGGCTTCTAAAATGTAGTGGAGTAGAAGTATAAAGTAGCATAAGCTCTGAGAATATTTAGGTAGAGTACAAGTACACTTAAATTGTACTTAAGTCCTGTACTTGAGTAAATGTACTTTGTTACTATCCACAACTGTATATATACAGTTGTGGATAGTTGTGGACGACTACAATATAGCCTGCCATCAGAGAATCTGCTCTGCTGATGGCAGGCTATATTGTAGTCGTTTGAGCCATAATATCATGGACTCTCTGTTGCTCTACCATCTCCAATCCAACCAATTAAAATGTGAGCCATCTTTTAAAAGTTGTGCTATGAAATAGTTAAAACCTTACAGGTAAAAACGGGCCTTTTAAGGCTTTTTAGTTTCAAAAACTTGAATACATCTGCTTTTTGAGTACTCCTTATATCCGGTTCCAACAACTGTGTTTGTTTAAACCATAGACTGTATATATAAATATTTATATATTTAAACCACATCCACCACAAGTTGGGCCCGAGTAATACTAGTTGTAAGAGTTGTGCAGTTAGAAAGAAGTGAGTTTACCAGACACCTGCAGGCTGCTCCCCGTCTCAGCTTGATGCTAACTACATTAACCGCTATTAGCATAACACAGTGTTGCATTTTGGGTAATGCAATTTTATAAATGGCTAGAGAAAAACAAAAAAATATGAAATGCTACTGTCAGTCTTCTCTTCATATCCGTGACTGTCACCTACTTAACCCGTTTGTTTGTGTGTGAATGGGGGTTCTTCCAAACAAAATTTAAAAAAGACATTATTAGCATCATAGACTCTCATCTCTCCACATGAAGCCACTTGTAGTGATTAGAGCAGATGATTATAATGATTAGACAGCTAGAGAGCGTTTCACATTTAATCAATTCCTTAGAATGAACCTTTTACCTCATTTTGAATATAGTAGAAAAGAGATATAACAGAATGAAATATTGTTGTCTTTTTTGTTAGTTCAGATGCGTCCAGCCACACACAAGTGATGGCCTAAACCAGTATGCAGAGCTACTGCTGTATTATTTAAAATGCGCATTCGGTCAGAAGATAATCTGAAGTCGAGCAATAATTTTGTTATTACATTTCTCAGAGGAAGTAGCCTGCACTGGTGTATATACCTACATTTACTGTACACAAGTAGTAATGTGCAATTTTGAGATTCCTATTTATGTATTCCTTGTTTATTCTACTTTAAACATCTACTTCACTAGGCTATATCTCACTGACAGCTATTTTACTGTTCACTCTACTCCACTCTTGATTTAACCTCTAAATTGTCATTGTAAATAAAGATTCTACAGCAAAATACATTATGAGTTTAGCAAATATGATCATCAAACATGTTTTTCAGAGACTTAAACCTGTCTTGTTGGCTATATAAATATGGAAAGTACATCAGCAAACGAGTAGATGCAAAGTTTACACAAACATACGCTCTCAGTGTTAGTAACATAATAAAAAACAAAAAAGAGAAAATTGGCAGTGTCACCTGTTGCAAACTCCCCTTAGGCAATGCGTTTTTTCTTTCTCTGGGATTTCATATGAAGCAGCTCATAAAGAAGAAATGTTTTATCTGGCTTCAACCAGGAAACTGTTGGCACAATATTCCCCTTAAGCACTTTTAAAACATGAACTGTCTAGCAGACTTTTCTCATAAAAGAATGATATAATTGTAAAGTGTGGTCTGTTTGAAGACATAGTTTGCCCCAACCCCCCACGACCCAGTCTGTTTCACCTGAGGCAGGGTTTCCAAAACAAGTTTGAGCCCCTATACAATCCATAGTTTAGACAGAAGCATGTGGGCGTTCAGGATTTATATTACACCAGTTCACTCATGAAATAATCTTTGGTAATCAAAAAAGTACCAACCATGGCTGAGGAAAGTGAAATAAAAGTGACCAACAGAACAGACAGAGGAAGCAATTTATCTGAATTTGCTAGTGGAGATAAAAAAAATAAAACTGATCTGAATAGCAGATAGAGTAAATTGAGTTAATGGTGAAACATAAAGTCTAACAAACAGAAAACGGTTGATTAGATCATCGTATAAAAGGACAATATCAACATAGTGGCCACTCCTCTCAGGCACAAACTGTCCTTTTGTTAATTACTTTCCCATGGATTCCATTTTGAGTGAAGGCTGGACTTGGATACTTTATTCACAATTCAGACCAACAGAAGGAGCTGCATAAATAAGGAGTCACGATGTTACTCACATCAGTATTGCTAAGTAACTAAAAGGCTGCAGCTGCCTCAAACTGAAGAACTTGCTCTGCAAAAGGCAGTGCTTTTAAGGACATGTATCTGGGCAACAGGTCTTTCAAGATCGGCTTTTCCTTTCATTGCCTCTAGTGGAGATGAGTTATGCTTTGATACACTTGTGTTGTTACATGTCTGCGTCCTGTATGCAGCCGAATGTGCCTCAGGACTCCAGCCACCTGGAACCCATACATCTTAACAATCACATAAGGCATATCTCTTTATGGTGAACAATGCAGCATTTGATGTTTGGACTCTAAAGAGTGACCCTCTGTAATCGTGAAACAGCCGTTATATTTAACTAAATGGTTTGGGGCTTTCTCTTTATATGAAAACAGCACATGCTTTGCTATCCTCACACATGGCTGTTTTGCATTAAACAGATACCATTTACATACAGAGCCATAATAAGGAGAGATTGCATACATATTTAACATCATTTTATCTGTTTAATTTAATCTAATGTAAATGTGTTCTGACTCTTATCAACTTAATGTGCTAATGTTGGGTTTTACTGGAAATATATTGATGTATTCTCAATGCTTGTCTTCAACAAATGGACTCCAGATACATACTGTTCATTATGTTTCATTACGTATCAAAAATCATATTAAGAAAATATAAACTGTTACTTAATGCAATACAGCAAATTACATTTGTATGATGATGCTGAGAGAAAGTGCCTATAACTACTCTTTTTATTTATTTACACACTACCCCCCCTGCCTGAAACACCTCTGTTGGACTCCTTTGTTTACTTCTGTAACATAGTGAAATTACTATGTTACACTCACGCTTCTATTGGCTAGCACTCGAAAATATTGTCTGTCTTAGGCTAAGGGGCGGGACATCTCTAAGCAGTTGACCAATCACAATAAAGCCGGCCAGCTAACCAATCAGAGCAGACTGAGCTCTGGTTTCAGACAGAGGGAGAAAAGAGGCGCTGCAGCACCGGCAGTATGAGAAAAAGAAAGACCTCTTTGAACTTTAAAGCATGTAAACATGTCACAGTAGAAGCACAAGAAACAAAAATGATTCTGAGAATTAGCATTATACGTCCTCTTTAATACTGCAACAATGGATCAATACACACCTCATTGTTGCCAAAGTAGAAATCATACATACAATCCTGGTCACATTTGTGCTTGCTTTTGTAATAGCAAAGCAATGGTCCTTTTATTTAAATATATAAATAAACAACACTCATACACACAAGTAAAAAAACACAGTTCATAGAAAAACAGTATTGTAACATTTTAAAAAGGGAAAGTTTAAATTTGCTCCACCCAGTTCAAGAAAAATATCTGAGCCCATGTCCTGTAGGAATAGAAAACAAGGCTTCTTCATTAAATTGACCTTGTGTGAAAATCTATGTTGATTCTTTAGAGATGCACTCACAGGATGGGCAGCATCCTGCAGCGGTACATTGGTCACATGGCATTTACAGACAGATGCACTCAACCTACTTTCATATGTCTCACAACCTTATATAACGTAAATCCAATCACAGGCGCAGGGACAATTTGTCCTCGGAGAACTCTTCCTCCCAGCTCTGACATCTTTTATCGCAACATAAACAGATCATACACACCTTTTGTTCTTTCGTACTGTGTAGGAGTGTGAAAGTCCTCTGGGAAAAGTGTGTTATATCTTAATCAAACTATCAAGTTCTATTTAAGGAATAGTTTGACATCTTGGGAAACACTAATATGTTTTCTTGTTGAGCATAAGATAAGAATATGGATACCACTCCTGCATCTGAATGGTCAATAGCTGGAGCAGCAGCTTGGCATAGCTTAGCATAAACAACTGGAAACTGAAACTGGAAATAGCTAGCCTGACTGTAAGGTCAAGTTAACATGTAGACGTGGTAGTTGTAGTTGTTGGGGAAATATTTTCCAAGGCCCATGACTTTGACCCAGTTTATCAGTTCATACTGTCCTGACTGAGCACACGCACTTGTAATCGTGGCTGCTGTGCTCTCAGTGTTTTGTCTCCCTGTTCCTGCCTGTTGGCGTCAGCTGATAGAGGTGTTATGATTCTATCTTGTTATGCACAATGTTGATTATTCTCTCTGAACTAGCTAAATACAGGGGTCTGGGGTAGAGTTCTTCAGAATTGACGTGGCAACTCTACCGTGAAGTCAGAACCTCTGGCTCTTGGACTTGTTTTGTGAATTCTCCGGCCGAAGCTGCTAATAAACCATCAGTGTTTGACATCAAAGCTCCAGCTCTATCCCGTGTCTCCTTCCTGAGTCGGTGACTCCCACTGCATTGCTACACAGAAGTTTCCCCCACAGTAGTTGTATTGATCGTCTCACTAACCTTTGACAAAGAAGCATTTTTGCACAAGTGACAAACTCTTTAAGAATGGAATCATATCAATGCTGCATTTCAATGTTTGTTGCTGGTGAATTACTGATAAGGCAACCTGTGAATACCCTAATGCTGTGTCTCACTTCGCTGTAATACCCTAATGAACTGCACACACTATGCAAGTAAGTAGGCTACATAGTATACACAGTGTACTTACTGAAGTATCTGGATTAAGGCACAGCCTAAAATTTAATTTTGAGATTGAATGGAATTATCCCTGGTTAGGATAACATGGAACAGACACAGCTTAAAAAGGCACATTTATTTTTAAGGAAGACTCATATTCAATGTGTATTGTATAAAAGTATATAAAAAATAGGTGCAAAACACATCTAATAAATAGACACCAATTTGAGCAAAAATACTTCACAGTCAAGTCTTTAAATAAATTAAACATTGAAATAAATGCCCATCCTTGTGGTCCAGCTCTTCTATCAGATGAACTGCAGGACTTTCTGCAGAGTCCTCCTGAGTGGCAGCCTCTCCTCAGGCTTGCTGTCGGGGATCATATCAGCGCTCCTCTCTGCGCTCAGCTGGATGCACGGCCTCTTCTCTTTGACAGCCTGCAGCCCTGCCTGAGTGACGTTCCTGCAGAAGTCCACCTTTACCTCCACCAGACTTTCTCCGTGTGTTGCCACACCCTGCAGGCTGCAGTCGGTGATGCGGACACAGTTCTCCAGGAGAAGGCAGCGCAGTTTCCTGCAGCTCTGCAGCACAGAGATCACATCCTGGTCGCTGATGTGTCCACAGCCAGACAGGGACAGCCAGAGCAGGTTGGGACACCTGTGGCACAGAGAGTTACATCAGGTTTCCACCAACGTGAGGGAGGAACATCCGTACAAGAGCTGCTCTGTGTCAACGTTACTTATCAGGCTGATGACATAATTGTGTAGGGAGGGATTAGTTTGTTTGCACATGGACTAGCCTTAGGTTATCAATTCAGTTTGACGTGTGTCCTTATTTCACATGAATACTCTTCACATCTCTCGAATAGAATCAGATTACAGAGGATAAGAGATCAGGTGTATGATCAGAGCCACGTGTGGATGAGATGTAAACACACCACTGCGAAGCAGCAACATGATCTGTGTAAAGATAGTGACATTTAAAACCCAGAATAAATTATCTTTTCATAACATGTTGTCCCCCTGGGCATGTATATCGGTCCACTAAAAGCTTGTGTGAATACATGAAGAACAATTACAGGATGTTTGATGAATTATAGGATGACCAAAAAGCATTTTCTCATGCTCAATTTTACAGGAAACATTTCAATAAATGGATGTGAATTGTTTGCTGTGAAATATGTGTCTACTGCATGTTTCCACTTAGTATCAGGAGAGCACTGCAACCTACTGGCAGGCCTGCAGCACAGAGCTCCCTCATGGCAACGGATCGTGGATGTCATTCACGTTCCCTGATGTAGATTACATAAAGACTTACATAATCTTACCACATAACCACATGTGAGCCAAAAATATTCCAGTTGCCTGCAAGTGTTGAGGGTGCTGCCCCAGTAACCTCTGAACATGGGGTGGCACAGTCAGTCCACGTGCCTGCTAGCTACATTGCTGCATAGAGTGTGGCTTTATCAGCGGATTTGACTGCACAGTATTGACATTAACCAATAAAAGAATAAAAGAGGAGGTGGGGCCCTGGAACAACAACAGCTAAAAGCCAGCAGCATTTAGACTCAGCAGACTAATGAAAACAGTTTGTGACTAAGTGGATGAAGGTAAACATCACATGAACAAAAACTTCATCAACCACTGTTGCATAATTCGTCCACTCCAACAAATCACAAAGCTAAACCTTTTGCAATTAAAGTCTGATTTAATTTTATTTCAGAATTTGAAAAAAATAGATTTTAATCAAATAAGTGCAATCTTGTAATCAGAGAACAGAAATATGCCAATTTAAAATTAGCCACCCTGAAGTATGTAGGTGGATTTGACTGTTTCTTTCTTTCTTTCCATGATGTTGATCATATTAAAAACCACCAGAGTAAAAGCGGAACAATACACTGCTAACCTGTAATCATCTCTCTAATGGTTTTTGTTTCCTAACAGTGATTTTGTCTGGCCAAATCATCAAGTGGATATTGTGTTGAATGGTGAACATATTGTATAACTCTTTTACTATCTAAATTCAGTTGTGAATATTTCAAAAAGCATCAGCTGAAACTGTACTTTGTAGGCAGAAGTCATAACTTAATAAGCCCAAGATGTGCACTCGTTGTACCATTTATTTAAATGAATACTGAACGCTCAATATTCAAAATCCATAACAGTTCTCGATTATTGATTCAATTAATTTGACAGGAGCATGACACTGTAAAATGAGGGGCCCAAAGGCGTGCCATGTTCTAAAGTTTGTTTTTTCCATGAAGATAAATAAAGACAGTCAGGAGAATGGCGTCAGAGTTTGCGTGGAGTCTTATCCAGGAAAAGGCAGGCGGAGACAGTCGCACATGTTCAGTCCTCTGACAGCAACAAAGAGCCAATTGTAAGCTCCACCTGCCTGTGCAGTCTGCAGCTGACTCTTTATCTCAGCTTCTCTGCGTCCCCTCCCACTCTGTCACGTGCACTTGCTCTCCATTTGGGAGGGTTTATCAGTATGCAATGAGTGTGCCTTAAGGGCGTTGAGATACAGCAGCCAGACAAAGTAGGTGGTTCTAGTTTTGAATGGCCTCACAGCTCTCGTGGCTTGCGTCTCAAATTTCACAATACAGGAAATCCTCACAGGGTCATACACTGAGCCAATGAGCGAGCCCCTCTCCTCTCCTCTCCTCTCCTCTTGCCAGGCCAGCTGCGGTGGCCAGGCTCCCTCACATCAACGCTTATTACTGGCTGCCTTGAAGAAATGATCCAGAGACCTCATTAGCCTCTCCAGGTCGAGTCCTGTATGCAGCCAGCCACGCACACAAGGCCGAGAGCCAACAGAGCTACGTTTCAGTGACCTATCAAATCCAAGTGTCACATCATTCAATAAATATAATTCGATATTTGACCACAGTTATGTTAGTTAATAGAATCAGTCTAATGTCCCACAGATGTGTCACTTTTCTGTCTCCATAGTCAGCTCTGGATAGATACACCGTCTGTTTCTAATGATTTTCTTCCCTGCTGCCTACAGCTAAACATGGCAGTTTCAGTAAGCCATGTGCCTCTAAAAGAAAACAATCCAACCTCCGTGGTGGGTGGGAATGGCCCTGAGAACCGCGTAAATGATATGATCTTCCTCAAGGCATATCTGACCAAAATTGGAAGCTTTTGTAAGACACACTTGTCAATGCTCATGTTTGACACAAAAGGGAAACCTCTAGTGGATGTCATAGTGAGAAGTAGTTACAGGGATAGACAAAATATCAGGTGTGTCTATAGAGTGCATCCAAAGTAAGTTAAAGCTACTCATGTTCAGCTTTGAGTAAGGGTATTTGATGTTGTGGTTTGTACTGTCCAGTGTCGTAAGGATATGCAGATCATTTACAAGTAAAGTCAAAATGCTACACTGAGAAAATACTGAGTGAAATTTGTATTTGTTTAATTTACATATAGGTCTATTAATCCTAGCAAAAGTAAAAGTATGAATTATGCAAAAAAAATGACCATCCTTATTTCCATATGTAATCATGCAGTGGTCTCAGGTTTCTCTTTCATTTGTTTATTTAGCTTAATAGTATAGGAAACCTTTCTATTCACATAAAGGAAAACTTGATGCTTCAGATTATCAGAAAAAGTCACTACATTTGAGATATGAGGTTTTGATCTGAAAAGTACGAACTAAAGCTGCCACAAAATTACAATCTTTGCCAATTGGCAAGAAGTGAAGTAAAGAATAAAGTTGTATAAACTGGTGCATCAAAGTACCTGAAGCTCATTTACTTAAGGTTATATGCCCAGAGCAGTTCATAGCTAAGGGTTAACAACAGATAAGTAACAAAAATACTTTAAAAAAACGTGTATTCTTGTGTATTACAGGGTAGTTTTATTTCATAAGGACTAAAATATGTTTTAGATGCATCAAAGTAAATCATTCTTTGGTGACCTGGTCCCAAATAGACATGTTTTGTTCTAGGAGTCACAAGCCAAGAAGCCACTGCTTTAGATGATATCACAGTGAGTAGCCTGAGTTTTACAGTAAAGTACAAGTGCCGCTTTGTCCCCCCTCTGTTACATCTCAAATACACGACAAAGCAGCAGGAGAACCGCACACACACAAACACTCACATGTGGCAGACATGGGCCAGGAAAGTGGAGACCAGGCTCTCGTGCTTGCTGCAGATGTCCTTCTGAAACGAGCTCTTCAGCCAGTCCTCGATGTTGCAAACCTGCAGGACCCTGCTCGAGAACCAGCAGACCGTCAGGTACCGTAACGAGGGTCCCAGCACGAAGTTGTCCCGGGTCAGCTGACAAGGGGAGCTGAAGTGGAGCACGGTCCAGAGGCGGGGGTCCAGGAAGACCTCGCGCAGCGGGTGACAGGTAAGGGACAAACTCTTCCGGTTTTCCTTGTCTAGGAAGGAGAAAAGGTGGAGGAGACACTCGTGGTTAAGCTGGGTGACATGCATGGTTAGCCGTCCCGAGACAGAAAGAGAGGCCTCGTGGATAGCAGAAACAATGCGCTAGCAAGCTGTATTGTGTGGCCCAGATACATGATGCCTCCGCAGGCACACGCTGCAGGCCTGCACATATAAGGCCGGGGAGAGCAGGCTATTTTGGGAAGACAACTGGCGGGGCACGGTCAAAGATGGAAGTGTTGGAGACATACGCTCCCTTTCCATCTGTCATGGCTCTCAACAGGTGGTAACCGCTGCTGAGAGCCAACAGATGTTTACACTGGCCTGGCCTAGTTCTCAGATAGAGACACACACACAGACACACCACGTACACACATACACACACACTGAGTGACACACAAAACAGACACATCTCAAGAATCTAGGACTGCAGCAAAACAGCCAAGGTAATAGTTTGACCTTCACTGTGCAGAATTATATAGGCCTATGTTTAGTTTATAAAGGGTATACGTCTGTTTGATTCTAAAGGGCTGATTTCACCTTCATTATTTATTTACTATTAGAGAAGGGTGCCATTTTAAGAATCTATAAATAAGTAATTGAACCTTTCAGTGGGAAAACCATAAGGGGCACTAATTATTATATGAAGCAAAGTGTTTTGAAAAGTCTAAAAGTATGTCTGGGGCGAATCTTAAAGTAGCCATTTCAACCCTATCATACATCTCTTAAGGATAGGTGGTACATTTTTACAAGCTTAGAATTTTCTGAAGTTATTGTTTTGTTCTTTCTAAACCTGTTCACATGTTGTTCTAGTAGCCCTGTAGTTGTTTTAACTGCAGACCTTTCTTAAACAGGATGAGTCTGTTTAGCATGAATACTATAACCTGTGAGATTTAATAGAACATATCAGTATGTTTAACATTATCCAAACTTTTAAAATAACAATGTGATACAGTCCAGCTGTATAATAAAAAAGAAAGTTGTCTTACATCCCTTAAAATAAAAAAGGCCTATATTGTCATGTATTGGCTTGTCTTATGCTGTTATCTAAGGAGTACTGCATTATTGACTTAATTAAAAGTATAAAAAAACTCAGATTTTTTTTCAAAAGTTGTCTTACAACCCAAAATCAAGAAGGGCTTGCAACCCCATGAAGCTTTGCCAACCCCCACGTTGGAAACCACTGCTATTGCCTACAAGATATTTACACAGCCTTATCCTCCCATAACCTTAAGGAACACAGTGAACCATGACTCATTGTTTTGAAATTGGTCAATTGCAGCAGAGAGGCCTTACTGACATGGAAAAAAGGCAAAATATCATTAAATCCTAGTCTTCCGTCCAAATGCCAGTAATGTCCTGTTCCAGTTATCACCAAAAAAGTAGGACATTGGGAAATGCCACTGTTAGAGGCTGATTACGTCTGTACTGTGACTCACTGTGTCATGATGTTTGTATCCAGACCTCTGATCTGACAAACACATTGCAATGTGAGCTTATTAGCAGCAGCATGTGACCTAGCCTCCATGAGGAAAAGAAAAAAGAGAGAGGGGGGTAAAAAAAAAAAAAGGCCACTTGTGTGTCATTAATGGAGACAGAGTATGGAGCCCACAGCCACCTGTGAGCAGGCGAGGAGGAGCAGCTGTTGCTCATCATACAGGAGAGCTTGTTCCTTCCTGAGCTGAGGCTGACTGACTGGCACGTGTCCCGGGGGGGCTCTTATGTGAGTCTGTGGTGGGCGGAGATGCTAGAGGGAAGAGGAAAACAACATAAAAAGGCTCGCTAAAAGTGTACTCTCGCTCCTTTAAGGTTGTATTTGGACATTCAAAAGGAAGTTGTCAGGAGGAGACATAATAAGTGTGTTGGAGATAATAATAAACACAAGAAAACCTTCTGGTGAGCATGTGTCCGGACATGTGAAAGCTCCTCACATGTGCATCAAATAATGGGCATGCTGTAAATATTTACATTTTAGATGTGCTATTAAAGCTTCTCAGGATCTAAACTGCTGAAAAAGAGACATTATAGACTTGGATCAAATGTTGTCTTCAACTCAGAGATGCAACAACCAACGATTATTCATCATCATTAAAGAATCTGCTAATTATTTTTAGCTAAATAAAATCTAAAACTTATACAATTCCCATTGCAATTTACTTAAAGTTGAAGATATTTTGCCAGACTGACTTATGTCAGTAAGTCTTAAAACGTTTTTTTCCCCAGACGAACCACCATAAACCCAGAAATATGCAGTTAATAAGCAAGACAAGAAAAAACAGTTACCAGTAAATGAGAAGCAAGAACTATTAAATATCCTTCAATAATGACTTCTATGCTTAAAGGTGGGGTAGGTAATACACTTCAGAAACACTTTTTGTTACATTCCATGGAATGCTCTTAACATCCCGATAGCAATGAATAGATTAAATGCTTTGACAATAAATATATAAAAACATTTCATCTGTGGAAGCCGTGGCGCTGTAAAAAGCCGGCCCGGCTAAAATAACTGGATGGCCTACCTATCTCGTGCACTCATTGGTCATGTGCGCGTTCGTGTGTGTTGGAGGAGGGGCTCTGTAAGGAAGGGGCAGATTTTTTTCGGCTGCGTAGTTTCAAATTCTAGCCACTCGAGCTGGTTTCTCCATTCTTACCTACCCTACCTTTAATAGATTGACTAAAATATAATTTTAATTTACCTTATTGTTTCAGTTCGCGGTTAACTGCTTCCCTTACCCCAGGAGTTTTCTTGTTCTTAATGCTGTACATTGACATTTGTGAATAGTAATCAGTTATATAATATTTTAATGTTTTCAGTTAGTTAAATGTTCCTGCAGAAGAGTGGGTGACTCACGAATACACTGCTTGGACTGTAAGGGAGGTTTTTCCTCAATTGAAAGTGCGGTGGCATGATTCATGGCCTTTATTATATGGAGTTAAGTCAGTAATGTGACCTTCCATTTAAAATATTACTAAAACAAAACATTAGCTTTGACTGAATGAAAATACTTTTAACTGCTCAAAAGAATAATTGTAGAAATAAACGTTTGTGTTTCTGTTTACATGCTGTCTGTGTTAATGGGTGGGGCGGTTTGATCTCAGTGGGGTTCAGAAAGAGGTTTTTTTTTCACAGAAAAAGAAAAATTTGAAAAAGATTCTCCATTGTATTTTAGCATGTTCACATGACACATGTTATAAAAGTAAATGTAATAAGGACATGTTATTAAGTCAATTTCAGATCAACATAAAATGGTAAAATATACTCCCAACGTCATTACAGACAAACAAACATTATGATCCTTTCTTTTACAATGGTTCTGGTTAAGAAGTTAAAACAACTTTCTAAACATGATCCTACATGATCACTTCTGAGTCATTAAATGTATTGGATTCTCGATCCTAAAATCTCTCCTAAATGACTGAAAACAGAACTACACGATTTTTAAGTAATGGAAATAACAATATTAGAAACTTAAAAAAATAGAAACTCCAATTATTGACAATGACAGTGTGTTGACACATCCAATCTCTTCAGTCTCGGCTAAACATTGGACCAACTGAGGTTTTAAAGGCTACAGCTTAACTTCATCACCTTTGGAATCTATTACACAGAGGAGTCTACCTCAACTGAGGAATACAACAACAAGGAAATGAACACAAAATGGTTATCTAAAGAAAACCCAAGCAGCAAATTAAACAAGATGCAATCATGCAGTTCATAAACATTTAAAAAAAAGAATACACAAACATTAAATGTGAAAATTAACTATTTAAAATCAAGCACTGTGAGACATGTGATTGAGGTGAAGCCATGGTAATAAGCCTTGTGACGAAATCATTGTGCGACGGCTTGAATAGCTTGGCTGGCCTCCTCTGATGCAGCCTTGTCTGAGGTATTATGTGTTGCAGGCTCTATTGAAGCCACTTCAGCCATTTCTTCACCAACATTTTCCAACGCAGCATTATCTGGGGCCGCCAAGTCCTCTGTCTTCATGTGTGAGGCTGCTGCGTCCATCAGAACCATGTCTGCTGCAACCTTGTCCTGAGCAACTGCTTCTGAAGGGCCGCTGTCCTTATCCACCGTCTCTGCATCAGGCTTGCTGTCCGTCTTCTCTGAGGCCACCTGTCCAGTCCTCTCCACGTAGAACAGGATGTAGGCCTTGGCCTTCCTCACTGTCTCCACACTGGTCAGAGTCACTGTGCTGTCGTTGAAGTGGTACCAGCGGCCCTCGTGGCTGCCATATGCTGTATAATGTCCTGATCCAACCCTGGAAACACAGACACATATATCATGAACTGCTGCCTGTCTACCACGCTGCATATATTGCTACTGCGGTTAGAGCTAGAGGAACACAATCAGCTCAGCAGAACAACATCGCCACTTAGAGGCCAAAAGTAAAACTGCAGCAGTGTGGGGAACATTTCTTGGCATATCTCATTACATTTTAAAGGACTCTTAACCTAATGCCTTTCAGCATTTAGTGGATACATACAATGTTTAACTGCAGCTGTCCACAAGGCTCTCAACAAAATTGCATTTGGCTTTAATACAGCCATAGTATGACCAGCCCTGCCAAAAGCCATAGGCAGAGCTGGTCAACAGATGCTTATGTTTAGATTTATAGTTGGGTGTTATTACTTTTTCTTCTTGAGCTGTTAACTATGCTGCCATAGTGACAGAAGCACATCCTGCATGTGTCTGAACATGTGATAATATGTCAGCTGTCAGCTGGAGGGGAAAATCACCCATCAACCCCAAACAAGTCTGAGATATTCAAGATGCTGCAGCACTCTAGATGCTGTTCATGCTTATTAAAACAGCACATTATAATCAGAGGGATGAAGCTTCAGCAAATTAATTACAACCTCTCCATTTGTGAGTTTGAACTGGAATAATTCATGTACTCACCCAGATCCATGATGCACCACGACATCAACAAGATCATACAGGCAGCTGTCTGGTAATGCATTATCTGGCTGCAAACATAAAAAAAAGACAACATAAGATATTTTATTTTTAGACTTTTCAAAGATTTACAACTTAAAGGAGACATTTAGCATCTGGACATGCCAGAGTTTCACACATAAAAGTCTTCTCACATTCTAAAACACTTCAGCATGTCAGAGGCCTAAAAAACACATGTTTTATATCAGGACATTTTGAACAGTTTACACAATTACCTTGATCCAAGTTTGTCAAGGTAATGTGTTTTTTTTTTACTACTATTAACTATCCTTTCAGTTCAGTCATGCTCTGTATTGGAAATATGTTGAATTGCATTGTCCCCATCAAATACAAATACATTTAAATCAGATATCTGTGAAACAGTGCCCTCTGCAGGCAATTGTAA